TGAAGTGTGGTTAAAAGATCTAGAAAAAGTGGACCCATGAAGTTTAAATTTTTCTGTTTTGTGGTTTTATACACCATCACATCAAATTATAAGAGAAACAGCCACTGTGAGGTGACAGTGGAGACTTTTAACTTGTTCATATGTGTTCTCACGATGAATTCAAAGTGCAGGTTTGTAGCCCTTACATACAGCCATTTGAAAAATAAGTACTTCCTATGGAAACTGTTGACTTTTACAGATGTGAACAAGCAAACACTAGATGGTCTTTTGTCACCTGTTAACCCATAGAACAAATATTACCCACCGGCTGTTTTGAAAGGTGTAATATCTTTAAAAACGACCAAATGTATATAATTTCTTAGAGGCAGGAACTTTAAAATCAGGAAGAACTGCTTGATTTTTAAATATCCAACTGTCTTTATATAACTCATTAATGATGTGTTGTTCCACTGTTACACTGCAAAAACATAATAACCTGCATCATGTTACTGATAGTGGAGGGTGACACCACCAAAACTTCCCAATGGGTGACTTAATCACTCCATATGATCTCATGTTTACTCATCTCTGTTTGTTTGTAATAGGAAACTGTGAAAAGATCAGAACTACAAAGTAAGGAGGGATTAAAGGAACCAAAGACATGGGTGAAAGTTTCTCTCAGTAGAATTAGCAGCTAAATATTCCTGAAGCATCAACACTATCTTTAGCGATCTTAACATCAAAAACAACTGAAGTCTGACTATATTCTACATGTCTTATTCAAGATTCTCCAAAAACAAACTCTTTGCTCTAATCAGATTCTATAAAAAGGCACTAAAACAAAAAAAAGCATGTGTTGTACATGTTGATATCTGATTTGTATTATTAGTGTACATCTTTCTTTATGATTTATGGCATTTTAACTTTGTTATATTGCACAAACGACATTTCTGATTTCTGTCTACTTCTAGCTGTAGTTGTTTTGTTTCCACAGAGATGCAGAACTTTATATTGCACTGAAAAAAGGAGTCCACAGTGATTTCACATGTGACAGGAGCAAAAAAAAAAAAAAAACTCCTGGCGCTCAGAGGGTTAAACCTCTGTCATGTAGGCTGTGCTGTTCTCTTTGTGAGTGAGGTGTGGGTGTCATCACGGGGTCATCTAAAGAGCTCTGTCAGGCCTTCAGAGAAAAGGCTGTGGATGCCAAAGAGTCTGGCAAAGGTTTTTAAAAGAACACAGCACATGATTATCCAACAGCGCTGTGTTTTCAAGGTTACTACATGTTTATCCTGCAACTCTCACATACCTCAGAGCTGTTAGTCACAGCGCAGTTCACCACAACGAACGCAGCTCTATCATTTAGTTGTATGTGCATTAGAACCTAACTACAACTTAGAAAAATTATTATTTATTTTCTGATTTGTGCAGATTATCTTTCCACATTATATGTAAGTGTGTCTTTGCATGATGTGGGAGCACAAGAGTTACACTGAAAAGAAAGCAAGCCCCCGATAAATCATGTAATTCTAAGGTGGTTAAAGTTTAAGTTAAGGGTTAGGGTTTGTCAGGTAGTTGTTATGGTAATGGTAAGTTGATGTAATGTCCTCTGAAGTGATGCAAACTTACCAAGAGGAAAACCTTGCTGTCCGGTTTGACTTTATGCTTCTCCATGTATTTGATTAAGCTGCTGTTTGCATACCTGTTAGACGAGAGAACATCATGATGCTACATTTGATGTTGTATTTGTGAGTTTCCGATGATGCTCAGATTATAACGTCCACTCACGTTGTCCTCCTGAAGTCTTTCTGCAGTGTGGGGTACTCTGGCATCTTTCTGATATCTTCCCAGTCTTTGTCTGTGCAACACAAGAGCACACAACCAAGTTTACAAATGCTAAAAATATAAATACATGCAAATATATATACAGTCGTGAACGGAAGTTTACCTACACGTCTACAGACCATGTTTATCATGACAGTCTTGCGTTTCTAATGACTCAGAATTTTCTGTGATGGAATCATTGGAACACATGCATCTTTGATCCAAAGAACAATTGTGGATTTTGTTTTTTTCTTAGATTTATTACAGGTCACCTGAAAGTATGATAAAATCTGATGGGTCAAAAATATACATACAGCAAAGCTATGGTTTGATGAAACATACCTTGGCTAGTTTCACCCCAACTCTGTATATTTGTTAGCCATCCACAAGCTTCTGGTGGTATCTTTGATGTCTCTTCTAGACAGAATTGGTGCAGCTCAACTAAATTTGTTGGTTTCCTGACAGTCTTGTTTTTTTCATCACATAGATTTAAGTCAGGACTTTGGGGAGATCAGT